CCAGCAGTGCCTTATAGAGTGGTCTCCACCGCAGTGTCCCCAGGCACGTGGCTCCCCTCCTCGCTCGTCGCTTTCTCTTCAAACACTTGGCGGAACGCGACTTTCACGGAGCCTTGGAACCGGCGCTGCCGGCAGCTCCCCACCAGAAAGTAAATGATGGGGTTGATGCTGCAGTTCAGCAACGCCAGCAGAAAAGTTGTTTTTTCAGGAAACAATTCGTGCGAACTTGGAAGGTTGAGGAAAACCTCTACATTGAAAGGAATACCAAGGGCAAAGAAGAAGATCACGTTGAGAAGGACAGCAACATAGAGTTTCCCCGGGTGTCGTCTCTGTGAGCCACATCGGAGTTTGATGAACAGGGACAGGTTGGAAATCAACATCATTGATGACAAAATCATGGAAATTGCAATGGCTACACCTGCAAATACTGTCTCATAGCTTTCAGCAAAGTTAAAGCTAAGATACATTGAGGAAACAAAAAATCCAGCGAGAGCCCAGAGCACCCCACTCACAACGCCTGATAAGTGCTTTGGGCGCTGGCAGCGATACCAGATTGGGAAGAGGACAGAGATACACCGCTCCACGCTGATTGCTGTCAGGAGACCCAGGCTGCTAAGGTCAAAGAAGTGGCACAGAAATTCAACTACAAATACAAAATCTATGTAGAAAGAAACAAAATTATACAAATAAGAACAAATTGCTGTTAAGATCAAAATTGCGAATATGAGCAGAAAAAACAGGAGGAGCAGAGAGAAGTCAGCAACAGCTAGATTTAGGATGTAGATGGTGAAAGGGTTCTGCTTCATGTGGAAGCCCAGGAACCACATGACTATCCCATTCCCCACAAGTCCACAGAGAGAAATCCCCATACAGACACCTGCAAAGACCATCAATCCATAAGATAGTCTTGAGCATTCATATTCGGTATTTTCCCCATAGTCCACATATCCAGAAGTCATGTAGTTCAGAGAGAGATCTATTGTGTTGGTCTCCTCCATGGCAAATGGGTGGCCGCCTTCTCCCTCTCCCACCACCTCCTAGGAGAGACGAGGAAGGAGAAGGAAATGAGGGGCATCGGTGTTCCCAGCATTTGACATCTTTCCCCACAGCTCCACGCCAGCCCCAGGCTGCACCAGGAAGGACCCCGTCCCCTGACGTGCCCAGGACAGGTTCCCACCCCTCCAGCCCTGTCCCTGGCCAGGAGGCATCTCCCACCTGCCCGTCTCTGGCCTCCTACCTCCTGGTGCTCCTGGGAACAGTGCTGCCACAGGAGCTCCAGCACATAGGACCTCCACAAGGCCGGACTTGCCAGCAGAAAGAGGGTGGTGATGGCTGCCGGGGTCACCCGCTCTGCTTTGGCCTCATCCCTCGTGCCTGAGGAGCAGATCTTTGCGCAGAGATCACATCCTGTGGTCAGGAGACTCCCCTCACAATCTCATCACATCAGTGACAGCTTCCCCTCACATGTCCCATGGACAGCGATCTAGTCAGTAGGAGTTGGCCACGTCACCCCGTTCCTCTCCTCCCCCCAGTTTTTCACCAGGAGGTGCTGATCTGTTATGATCCCGTTAAGAAGGGCACTCAGACTCCATAAAGTATCATTTTAAATGCCATTTACGAGATCTAAAACTATGAAGAAGGAGAGGATAGCACAGATAATCTTATGTCCCTTCAGGTGCTGGGAACCCCAGGTCTTGCAGCATCAAACAGGCCTCTGATTAGGGCAGGTCCAGTCCATGGAAAGGTTACCCCCCTATGGTTGTTTGAGCTATTGTAGGATTTTCTTAAAAAAGAAAACTCATTCTGCTGTCAAACAAAAAGGATGTTCACATGAGAACCGTTGCAGCAGTCTTAGATAAATGCAAGGACATGCAGGTGGTGTAATCACCAGCACCCAGTGGGAGCTGCTTGCAGGCTCCTCCTTTATCATCCAACAACCAGGTTTATCCCATGGCCAAGCGAGATGCACGGCACAGCACAGCGCAGCATGGCACAGCACAGGCCTGGAACTACTCAGGTTGAGTGTTTTGTGGATCACTAACTCCATGATTCATAATGGTCTTCTGGTCAGGATCTCTACACCTCCGTCCTCCAGCTTCAGCTTGCCATGCAAGGGTCTCCTGGGTTTTGCTGTGCGAAGCTGGTGGTGGAAGACTTCCTCTAGCTCTCTTCTGTTCCTTGGCTATCCTTACAGCCTGCCTCACCAAGGGGATGGTGTGGAAAAGATTTGGCAGGGCAAGAGGAAAGCAGAAAGATGAGAATGAGTGAGATGAGCATGGGACCATCAACAACAGGATTGAACCAGAATAAACTCCTCGAAGTCCCTGACAGTCCCATGGCCTTAACGCTCCTTCTCCTTCCCATCATTCCCCAGGTGCAGAACCACTCCTGGTCATGCCCGTCCCTTCCTCTGCCCCCCCAGGCCTCATCATACACCCGCTCCCTGCACCTGGGATGCCAGCAGAGTCCCCTCAACAGCAGCCAATGACGCAGAGCACTGGCCTTGTCTCAACTTGCCGTGAGAAATCACCAGTATTCAGATACGGAACAGCACGAGGGCTTTGCCCACTGCCTCTAATCACATCCCTGGCATGCATGTGTCTCCTCTGAGATTACATTATGTGGGGTACATAGTGCTGCAAATGTGCTTTTATCTACAAGTGGTTCCTGTCGCACAATCTCATCCTTTAACATCACAGGGACTGGCATTTTCATTGCTTATTTTCTCGCCCTCTTTCATGTGTTTTCCATCTTTTGAATACCTCTTCTTGGGAGTTATTGCCTATGCTTGTCATCCCCAAGACTAATGTCCTCCAAAGACATCCTTTGATTTCATGTGGTGAATACATGGTAATGAACAAGGTCCACAGTCTCTCCAGGGGGTCCAGCCTGGAGCTGCAGGAGTTGGGGCCAGAGATAGACTTGAAACAAGGCTAGAGCGTAGGCTCAAGGTCCATCCATGAGAGGGGGATGGAGACAGGTCTTCAGACAGGTTCAACTCCTGCATAGCTCAGGTAAAGCATTGTTGCTCAGGCCTGACCCTAACTGGAGCCCCTGGTCCCATGGGCAGGGGATGAATGGGTGGGATCAGGGCAAATAAGGCCTTCAGGACACTGGAAGAGAGAATCTGAATGTCTCACATGGACAGTTTAGTATGCTATGTTGTTTCAGTCATGCTTTGTGAGATTAAGTCCCTTTATTCCCCTTTTCCACAGTTTTGGGCCTATAAAAATCAGCTCATCATTGTCCTACCACAAGAGCATGTGTTTTTCTTTCTTCACCTCCACTGTGAAAAACATTTCCCTTTATTGATTTCTTCTAATGGCTTTGTAGCATCAAATTTCTCACAAGTATTATGTTCCGTGCTTTGACACATTAAAGCAACGCCTCCATCTGATGGCAATGTCTCCCAGAAGAAAGCTGGGAGAAGTCTTCGAGCACCAGTTTACATGTCATTAGGGGCACTGAGCAAAGCCCTCATTCTGTTGCACATCTGCACATCAGTGATTTCGCACTGTTGAGGGTCCCTGGCTCGTCTCTCTCGCTCTCACCTTTCTGCCATTCTCCGTCCCTGGGAATGATTTATGTACTCTCCTGTGTTGACAGACAGAGCTTTCCCCATGCAGTCAAGTGGTGCTGCTGGAAAGTAGCAGGAGAGCACGTTACTCTGCAAAACTGTGCCCAAAGTTTCCTGCTCTGGGACAATACACCCTTCACACACCTCCCACTTTGTATGTGAACTGTCCAGCCATCATTGTCCCTTATCGGCACGGTGCTCCTCTCTCTTCCTTCACCTCCAAGCAGAAGATCTTGCTTGCCCTTGGCTCTGTGGGTGTTGTCTCCTATGGTTTTGGGGCTATAGCTAAGTTACTTGCAGTACGTTCCAGGTTTTGCCACACATTATGGCGAAGCCTCTGTATGAGGGCAAAGTGCCCCCAGGGAGAGCAGGGAGAAGTCTTGGACCACCAGGTACACACGGCAAAAGCCAGAAGCCCCTCTCATGGTGGGACAAAGCTGGAGGACGGCAGGAGGAGAGGAAGGGAGATGACGTGGCCAACTCCTACTGACAAGATCGCCATCCATGGGACATGTGAGGGGAAGCTGTCACCGATATGATGAGATTGTGAGGGGAGTCTCCTGACCACGGGACGTGATCTCTGGGCAAAGGTCTGCTCCTCAGGCATGAGGGACAAGGCCAAAGCAGAGCAGGGTGGCCACAGCAGCCATCACTACCCTCTTTCTCCTGGCAAGCCTGGAGGCCTCGTGTGCTGGAGCTCCTGCGGCAGCACTGTTCCCAGGAGCACCAGGAGGTAGGAGGCCAGAGACGGGCAGGTGGAGATGCCTCCTGGCCAGGGACAGGGCTGGAGGGGTGGGAACCTGTCCTGGGCATGACAGGGGATGGGGTCCTTCCTGGTGCAGCCTGGGGCTGGCATGGGGCCGTGGGGAAAGATGGCAAATGCTGGGAACACCGATGCCCCTCATTTCCTTCTCCTTCCTCGCCTTTCCTAGGAGGTGGTGGGAAAGGGAGAAGGTGGCCACCCATTTGCCATGGAGGAGACCAACACAACAGACCTCTCTCTGAACTACATGACTTCTGGATATGCAGACTCTCAGGCAGTTAATGAATCTCCGTGCATACTAGAAGATTATAGTACGTTCATAATTTCAGGTGTCTTTATTGGTATTTGCCTGTGTGGACTTGTGGGGAATGGGATAGTCATGTGGTTCCTGGGCTTCCACATGAAGAAGAGTCCCTTCACTGTCTACGTCCTGAACCTGGCCATCGCTGACTTCTCCCTGCTCCTGTTCCTTCTTGTTGAATGTATATTACGCATTATTTCAACAGTCTGTTGTATTTTCTCATTTCAATATCTTTTGACCAGACATATCTTGATGTGTCTATTTCTGTTTTGGTATTTTGCCACCATGTATCTCCTGACAGCAATGAGCATGGAGAGGTGCCTGTCTGTTTTGTTCCCAATCTGGTACCGGTGTCACCGCCCAAAGCACTTGTCAGGCATTATGTGTGGGGTGCTCTGGGCTCTCGCTGGATTTCTTGTTTCTTTGGCTTTGATTATTTGCAATTTGAAAATGAACTGTCAACAACTAGTACAAGGTTTAAGCACTGTGAATGTTCTCATTTTCTCTTTATTCCCATTCCTTTGCAACCTTTCACTGTTCATCAAACTCCAATGTGGCTCACAAAGACGATACCCAGGGAAACTCTATGTTGCTGTCCTGCTCAGTGCGATCTTCCTGTTCATCTTTGGGTTTCCTCTCAGTGTGGTGTTTTTTCTTAATCCTATTATGAGCCCATTTGTATTTCAAATGTTTTACCTGCTGGCATCGCTGAACAGCAGCATCAACCCCATCATTTACTTCCTAGTGGGGAGCTGCCGGCAGCGCCGGTTCCAAGGCTCCGTGAAAGTCGCCTTCCGCCAAGTGTTTGAAGAGAAAGCGACGAGCGAGGAGGGGAGCCACGTGCCTGGGGACACTGCGGGGGC